TGATATGACAGTTCTTAGTTAATTTCAATAACTACTTTAAATTAAGTATTTTTAAAGTATGCTACCATTGAAGCCCTATTAAACTCCCAGCCAACTATAAACGTGTATTTAACTACACAACTGTGTTTTTTAAGAAGAATAACAAAGATAACAAAGAAAGCACAGCTGCTGCAGGAGGAGACTGTGATGTCATAACCCTGCAGGTGTTACTGTTATGGAGTTGATTCCTGTAATATCACCGAGCGGCGTTTCCCCCTCGGCGTCTATCAGGGGAAATGAGCCGTAGCGCCAAAACAAACCCCGTGCATCTGTGCCAATGTGCGTGTGTGCGCGCACGTGGAGCTCGTAGTGGACAGAGAGACAAACCACTAACCCCCCCAGTCGGCCCAGTCAAGGTTGCCATGGATACCACTGTAGTACAAACTGTAGCAGTCTTGCATAGTTGTTACCACCATAAAACTGCTATGGAGCTGATATCACAGACAGATACTGTAGTACTCCTGCAGAACCGTAACCACGGCTACCAAAGAAACACAAGTACAGAATGAGGCTGTTGCCGGGGTTACCGCTGATGCTGATGGGTGTAATTCAAATGGTGTTAAACATCATCATCCTTTCAGACCTTTTCACATTACACACGCACACGCATACACACACACACAGACACACACACACACACACAGAGTAGCTGATATGATTGATGAAGCCTTTTAGAGTAAGATAATCCCACTCAGTAAGAGAGGCAGACAGTTTACGACACCAGATGGGCTTCTCTCTCTCTCACTTACCAACACACACACACACACACACACACACACACACACACACACACACCAGCATGAAGATGGCAGTGAACGTAGAAGGTAACGTGGGTTGAAGGACGGAGGGAGGAAAGAAGTGAAGTGACTCCAGTCTGATAACAACAGAAATCTCCATGTATTATGTATAGTTTACTAGTATTATGTATGTATTATGTATAGTTTACTAGTATTATGTATGTATTATGTATAGTTTACTAGTGTTATGTATGTATTATGTATAGTTTACTAGTGTTATGTATGTATTACGTGTAGTTTACTAGTATTATGTATGTATTACGTATAGTTTACTAGTATTATGTATGTATTACGTATAGTTTACTAGTATTATGTATGTATGTATTATGTATAGTTTACTAGTATTATGTATGTATTACGTGTAGTTTACTAGTATTATGTATGTATTACGTATAGTTTACTAGTATTATGTATGTATTACGTATAGTTTACTAGTATTATGTATGTATGTATTATGTATAGTTTACTAGTATTATGTATGTATTACGTGTAGTTTACTAGTATTATGTATGTATTACGTATAGTTTACTAGTATTATGTATGTATGTATTATGTATAGTTTACTAGTATTATGTATGTATTACGTGTAGTTTACTAGTATTATGTATGTATTACGTATAGTTTACTAGTATTATGTATGTATTACGTATAGTTTACTAGTATTATGTATGTATTACGTATAGTTTACTAGTATTATGTATGTATTACGTGTAGTTTACTAGTGTTATGTATGTATTACGTGTAGTTTACTAGTATTATGTATATATTACATGTAGTTTACTAGTATTGTGTATGTATGTATTATGTATAGTTTACTAGTATTATGTATGTATTATGTATAGTTTACATAATACATACATACATAATACTAGTAAACTATACATAATACATACCCACATAATACTAGTAAACTATACATAATACATACCCACATAATACTAGTAAACTATACATAATACATACATAATACTAGTAAACTATACATAATACATACATACATAATACTAGTAAACTATACATAATACATACATAATACTAGTAAACTATACTAGTATTATGTATGTATGTATTATGTATAGTTTACTAGTATTATGTATGTATTATGTATAGTTTACTAGTATTATGTATGTATGTATTATGTATAGTTTACTAGTATTATGTATGTATTATGTATAGTTTACTAGTATTATGTGGGTATGTATTATGTATAGTTTACTAGTATTATGTGGGTATGTATTATGTATAGTTTACTAGTATTATGTATGTATGTATTATGTAAACTATACATAATACATACATAATACTAGTAAACTATACATAATACATACATACACAATACTAGTAAACTACATGTAATATATACATAATACTAGTAAACTACACGTAATACATACATAACACTAGTAAACTACACGTAATACATACATACATAATACTAGTATAGTTTACTAGTTTTATGTATGTATTACGTATAGTTTACTAGTATTATGTATGTATGTATGTATGTATAGTTTACTAGTTTATGTATGTATTACGTAGAGTTTACTAGTATTATGTATGTATTATGTATAGTTTACTAGTATTATATATGTATTACGTATAGTTTACTAGTATTATGTATGTATTACGTGTAGTTTACTAGTGTTATGTATGTATTACGTGTAGTTTACTAGTATTATGTATATATTACGTGTAGTTTACTAGTATTGTGTATGTATGTATTACGTATAGTTTACTAGTATTATGTATGTATGTATTACGTATAGTTTAATAGTATTACGTATGTATGTATTATGTATGTATGTATGTATAAGATACAAGCGATACCCTGTAAAGAACATAACAATAAAGCATCAGCAGTATTCCAGCCGTGTTCTGACTTCCTTGTGGTGGAAGAAGTGATCAAGTGTCTTAATCCTCAGCACCATGAACATACTGCTAATGCAACTGTGTGTTCAAGGTTTTAACGTGTTGGATCTCTGCAGGTTTTTGGGCTTGCGGCACACAACAGGATGTAAAAACCAAAGTGCATCTCTCCGTCCCTCCTCCCTCTCTCACTCCCTTCTCTCCCTCTCTCTCTCTCTCTCTCTCTCTCTCTCCCCCACACCGCTCAGTTAATCTGATTAAACCAGCAGCTGTCTGCGGTTCTGCGGCAACAATAGCGGCTGGCTGAGCCGCCGATTAGCGCGGTTGCATCATGAATTATGCAGCGAGGGGAAGGTGGCGCAGTGAGGGGAAGGTGGCGCAGCGAGGGGAAGGTGGCGCAGTGAGGAGGGGAAGGTGGCGCCGTGAGGGGAAGGTGGCGCAGTGAGGGGAAGGTGGCGCAGTGAGGAGGGGAAGGTGGCGCAGTGAGGGGAAGGTGGCGCAGTGAGGAGGGGAAGGTGGCGCCGTGAGGGGAAGGTGGCGCAGTGAGGGGGAAGGTGGCGCAGTGAGGAGGGGAAGGTGGCGCCGTGAGGGGAAGGTGGCGCAGCGAGGGGAAGGTGGCGCAGTGAGGAGGGGAAGGTGGCGCCGTGAGGGGAAGGTGGCGCAGTGAGGGGAAGGTGGCGCAGTGAGGAGGGGAAGGTGGCGCAGTGAGGAGGGGAAGGTGGCGCCGTGAGGGGTAGGTGGCGCAGCGAGGGGAAGGTGGCGCAGTGAGGGGAAGGTGGCGCAGTGAGGGGAAGGTGGCGCAGTGAGGGGAAGGTGGCGCAGTGAGGGGAAGGTGGCGCAGCGAGGGGAAGGTGGCGCAGTGAGGAGGGGAAGGTGGCGCAGTGAGGGGAAGGTGGCGCAGCGAGGGGAAGGTGGCGCAGTGAGGAGGGGAAGGTGGCGCCGTGAGGGGAAGGTGGCGCAGCGAGGGGAAGGTGGCGCAGCGAGGGGAAGGTGGCGCAGTGAGGAGGGGAAGGTGGCGCCGTGAGGGGTAGGTGGCGCAGTGAGGGGAAGGTGGCGCAGTGAGGGGAAGGTGGCGCAGCGAGGGGAAGGTGGCGCAGCGAGGGGAAGGTGGCGCAGTGAGGGGAAGGTGGCGCAGTGAGGGGAAGGTGGCGCAGTGAGGGGAAGGTGGCGCAGTGAGGGGAAGGTGGCGCAGCGAGGGGAAGGTGGCGCAGTGAGGAGGGGAAGGTGGCGCAGTGAGGGGAAGGTGGCGCAGCGAGGGGAAGGTGGCGCAGTGAGGAGGGGAAGGTGGCGCCGTGAGGGGAAGGTGGCGCAGCGAGGGGAAGGTGGCGCAGTGAGGAGGGGAAGGTGGCGCCGTGAGGGGAAGGTGGCGCAGTGAGGGGAAGGTGGCGCAGTGAGGAGGGGAAGGTGGCGCAGTGAGGAGGGGAAGGTGGCGCAGTGAGGGGAAGGTGGCGCAGTGAGGAGGGGAAGGTGGCGCCGTGAGGGGTAGGTGGCGCAGCGAGGGGAAGGTGGCGCAGTGAGGAGGGGAAGGTGGCGCCGTGAGGGGAAGGTGGCGCAGCGAGGGGAAGGTGGCGCAGTGAGGGGAAGGTGGCGCAGTGAGGAGGGGAAGGTGGCGCCGTGAGGGGAAGGTGGCGCCGTGAGGGGTAGGTGGCGCAGCGAGGGGAAGGTGGCGCAGTGAGGAGGGGAAGGTGGCGCCGTGAGGGGTAGGTGGCGCAGTGAGGAGGGGAAGGTGGCGCCGCGAGGGGAAGGTGGCGCCGCGAGGGGAAGGTGGCGCAGCGAGGGGAAGGTGGCGCCGGGGGGGAAGGTGGCGCAGCGAGGGGAAGGTGGCGCAGCGAGGGGAAGGTGGCGCAGCGAGGGGAAGGTGGCGCCGCGAGGGGAAGGTGGCGCAGTGAGGGGAAGGTGGCGCCGCGAGGGGAAGGTGGCGCAGCGAGGGGAAGGTGGCGCCGCGAGGGGAAGGTGGCGCCGGGGGGGGAAGGTGGCGCAGCGAGGGGAAGGTGGCGCCGGGGGGGAAGGTGGCGCAGCGAGGGGAAGGTGGCGCCGCGAGGGGAAGGTGGCGCCGGGGGGGAAGGTGGCGCAGCGAGGGGAAGGTGGCGCAGTGAGGGGAAGGTGGTGCAGCGAGGCGAAGGTGGATGAATGGATGGATGAATGGATGGATGAATGGATGAAACCTTTAAAGAATAAAGGCCTGTTTGATGTGGAAGACGAGGAGCCACACACACACACACACACACACACACACACACACACACACACACACACACACACACACACACACACACACACAGGTGGAGCTCCGCCTACCTCTCTTGGTGATGATGATGCGGAGCAGTGGGTTTGCCGCCGACACCGCCTTGTGGAAGTTGTCGTCGTTGTTGATGGGCAGCAGGTCGCCGTGGACGTCCGCGTATCCCAGCAGCACGTCGGTGCCGGGGACGCGGGTGGAGGTTCTGGAGGAGGCGGTAGAACTCCTGGAAGCCGCCGGCGCCGTTCCTCCTCAGGGCGAAGCGCCGGTACTCGGCCTCGAACTGGAAGAGAGGGTGACAGCAGCCGGTGGGTCGACGAGCTACACGGGCGGCACGACGCCTCCGTCCTCCACAAACAGGACAAGGTCAAGTTTCTCCTCGTCCCGCTCCTCTGAGCACCTCCACGACCTGCGACCCCTGACCTGAGGTCATCCCGCCATGTTTACTTACATCTGCTTTTAACCTGAGATGCTGGTTAACTAGGTTCTTCTTTCGTTTCTTACTTTGTTTGACTTTTTTATTCCCGTCACACCCAAAAAAAAAGCAACGTTCTCGAATGTTAGACGTGTAAATGGAGTAAAGCCAGATGAGAGAACATCTGTCAGTCCACGTTGTTGTTGTTGAGGAGACTTTGAGGCCGCGGCTCACATTGACCTTTTGCCCAGTAGGTGATCAGCTTTCCGTTCAGCGTGACGCAGCTGGTGTTGTTGTGACTGTATAGAAGCATTGCCACAGTTTCCTCTTGGCACACGGCCACGTGTTAGCATACCACAGCTAGCATAGCACGGTAACCCGCCGTCGGGTCGAAGGCCTGACTGTGGCCGTACCAGAAAACATCGATAACACGACAAATATTGTGAAAATGTTACTCGTGGTTTGCGTTCAGTTACATTATGATGAGTTAGCTGAATGATAACTGGGATGCGTTCAAGTGTAACCCTGTGAAACGGGGATAAGGAACAAATCTCAGCCGACTGGAACACGGCATAACCAGTCAGTAGTGCGACCTTTGACCTGTGGTCCGGGGTTATGGGAAAGGTGCCAGCAGAAGGTGTGATGGGTTTGTCCTCTGCAGGTGATACGTCGGTCATCACCTACACCTGTTCCAGCGGGTGGAGCAGAGCGGTGACACCGCGGTGCACGTTAGTGGTGTTAGAGGTGTGATTGCAGCACGCAGGGAACATTTTGTCTTGGGCCGTGATCTAATCACAACACTGGAAATATTCCACTCTAGTTAAACGGATTAATAAAAAAGGGAAAAGCTGGTTCATGCAATTATGTAAATGGCTTAACAGGAACACAAGCAAAGCATTATTATTCGTACAGTGGAAGCGGGTTCAGGCTCTGATGAAAAACATGGTTATGAATCACTGGTGTCTTATTTATTTTGCAGGAACAACGTTGTACCGTAAGTGAGCGAGAGTTAGCCAGAGAGGCTAACGTCCATCTGCTGCCCCCGCCAGATGTTTGCCTGAATTTAACATAATTAAAAGAGAAAATAAAAAAATAGTAACATGAAGCAACAAGAAGCAACTCTGTTGCTTCATGAAAACAACCAGAGACCCGAGAGGCACCAAGAGGAGCCGAGTCCGTTTGGAGGTCTGACGTGAGTTACGTTCCATCAGAAAACTATTTATTTATTTATTAATTAATCCTCTGGTGGCAACAGCACCAACAAGCTAACAAGCTAACTCGCCGGCCAGTGGCGAGCGTCGAACAGCTGCTCGGGCAGCCGCGGGCCCTTTTCGGGGTCAATGGTGGTCCCGGGACGCGGGTTGCTCGGCCGCGCGGTGCAGCTCTATCTCACCTGGGCGCACACGTCACATGAGCTGCCCGTCGCTCAGCAACACGCACGGCCTGCTTAGCGTTACCTCCCTCCTGCACAGCGTCTGCTCATCCACCGCGGAGGACTGCATCCATGCATATTCCCACCTCTGTTTCTGTTGACATGCATCCATCGGTTGATCATCGACATCTCTAGTGGGTTTCAACGTAAATGTCTTCTTTTCCAGACAGTTTGTCATCCAGGGGACAGATGTGCAGAGTTGTTTTAGCACACGTTTGCCACACATGTTGGCGTGTTGGCTCGATTACGGAGTGGGGGTCTGAGTGGGGGTCTGTGTGGGGGTCTGAGTGGGGGTCTGAGTGGGGGTCTGAGTGGGCCGCGTGTCCCATAATAACATAATTCCCTTCAAATCCTTAAACTCTGCCCTTTGGATTGTAATCCTTCAAATGTTGAAATACTTTCAATAGATTATTTCAGTTTCACAAACAGTGCTGCTGTGGTTCCTGATGCCCACCTGGGTTCTGGTACCGAGGTCCAATTGGAACTTAATGTCACATCCACCTGAACACTGTTTTCATTGTTAGCATGTTTTGAATGTTACGTATGATCCTTAACATGCAAAGCTGCATCTGGCTGCACTTAGCTTCCGTATGAAAAGTAAAACACTGAAGACTTTAACAAGTAGTAACTCCACCAGGGACCATGTAGCCTCAACGTGTGCTGCTACAGCGATACAGGACTGCAGCCCCTCCCCCGGGGGGAAGAGCAGCCCCCCCGGGGGAAAGAGCAGCCCTCCCCCGAGGAACGAGCAGCCCTCTCCGGGGGGAAGAGCAGCCCCTCCCCGGGGGGAAGAGCAGCCCCTCCCCGGGGGGACGAGCAGCCCCCCCCGGGCGGACATGAAGCACGACGGAGGCTGAATGTCACCGTCGCTGTAAACGGATCCGTCGCCCCGGTGACCGTCGGTTGGGCCGCTAAGCACCGGTTCATTTACCCCCCCCCCCCCCCCCCCCCCCTTTACCCGGGTTTTTAACCCCCATCCGGCGGGCAGAGACCGCCGGGATCTCCTCCGAAGGTTACTTCCACGGTCTGCGCTATTTTCGGGGAAGGATGTCCCTCCCATTAGACAAGCCGGGAAAGAACCCCCCCGCCCGGTAGCGGGACACTCTATTTTGTCTTTACCCCCCCTCACCGTGTCGGGGAGTCTTAAAGACGACCTCTGCGGGGGGGGGGGCGAGAGATTCCGGTCCCCCAGGAGGTTGGTGCAGACGAAGTTTCTGTGGATAAAAAAACCCTTTCACCGCAACTGAGGTTCTTGTTGTTTCCCGTCTTCGGTCCTAACGGAGACCCGCGTTCAGAGCGCAAGCCCCCGCTGTCTGTCGGTTCTCCCTCCCGGTGAACGGAGACGCGCGAGCGCCGCTGCGGTCGGTCCGTGTCTCGTCTGCGGCTCCGCGCGCTCACGTCACGGAGGATAAAAGAAAACAAACCGGTCGATCCAGGGTGGGACGTGCAGGTGACCCGCGCTGCTCCTCCCCCTCCTCCTCCCCCCTCCTCTGACCCGGCGGCGCTGGAGGACACGGGGAGGGGGGCGGGGCGTACAGCGCGCCGGTGATGACGCGCCAACATGGCGGCTGGTTGGCCGGCGTTGCTGCTATGACGCTGCTCCCACGTGACCTTTGACACGCGGGGATGGAACGTGACGTCACTTGAGACGCGGTGAAGGTAAATAATAAATAAATAATTTAATAAATAATTTAAATAACGCACAAGAAGACAGATGGCATCTTCCTCAGGTGGCTGTGAGCTTCACTGGGATGGCATGTGGGCACCTGGTTCACCAAGGGGTCGCTGGTCCTGATGATCCGCTCTTTTTAAAGCAAGCGACCGGCCGGGCGAGTGAAGGCTCAGTATCTCACGAAACGTGTATCTCGGCCATGCAGCCTTCTCCTATCCTCCTCTTCCTCCTCATTCTCTTCCACATTGCCCCCCCCCCCCCCACATGCTAATCATATCCAGGACCAGCCGCTGAGCGCGTCAGCACTGCGGCAGGTTCCTACATCCAGATGTTACGTAAGAGGCTGCAACGACAGATGAGAATGATTTCCAAAGGAGAGCAGAAAAACATCCCCAACGTTCTGGTCTCCTATTGAACCTGAACGCCGCGTGTGTCGCTGCCATCGGCCCGCCGTCTTTCTCCTGCTCCCCACTGATGCTGGAACGTAGGAATGTGAGGAGAGTCCAAAGGGGGGGAGGACTTGGATGGAGTGATCTCGTACAAGTGCCCGTCCAAAAAACACAGATTGGTCCACGGTTGATTGACGCGAGGATCTCAGATGGACGGTGACGGCGTTTGAGTTAGAAGCTTCATGTCACATCAGGGCACGTGGGCGAGACCCAAAGGAGGTCAGACAGACCCAGAAACATTTGATTCACCCGACCAACGAATTTTAAGAATTGAATCCGACTGTAAACGGAGTAGAAGGAGAGAGGTCGGCCGGTCAGCTGATCTGCCAGATGTATGTAGATGATGTAGATATTCATGTGTGGGATGTTTCTAAGCTCCCCCGGGTGGTTTTGGCCTTCGTAAAAAGCAGTTGATTTGTTCAACGGACACCGACGTCGCATTTGACAGATGAACCATCGACTCACAGGCCGCTGACGTCTGATTGCTCGTATTTGTCCCCTGACGTGACATTGCCGATAGTAGCAACAATAAAAGCGCGCTCAACTATTTGAATTCCTTTCTTCTATCACGAATGGGCTTTTTTTCCAGTTTGCAACCCGTCTGCCCCGTTTGCTGGCAGATAAATGCCAATTTGCCCCCAAAAAAACATGCTGTATCTGATTTTATTTGCTTTTCACTTTCAATTTTCTTAACAATTGAATGGAGGAACAGAACGATGTGCTTAGTACGGCGATTTTTATCGTTGCCACAACACATTAACCTCTGGCCAGTAGCTTTTGGGATCTTCCTCTGGACCAAAATGTTGGATTGGCGAACCATAATACTGAACTCCTGACCATGTAAATGTCCGATGAGTTATTTATATGATCAGAAATGTACTGTTTGGGTCTTTACAGAAGGGGCGAAATCCCTCCAAAGCAAATCCTATAAGAAGCAGAATATTAAGCAGTCGCTTTGGATAAAATCGCAGCTAAATGACGTGTGATGTGATGTATTGTAATGTAGAATATGCGACTCTACTAACCTGCTGGACCAAAACCAGTCACCCAGCCAGCTGGGGCCTAATGAATGAAGCCCGACGCCCACCTCTGCCCCCCCGGCCTCTTCCTCTCGGCGAGACAAAGACGTAGAAACGGGAGACAGAATGTCGACTATGCAAACCGGTCCGGTCGGCAACGCGTCGCTTGCTCTCGATTCCAAAGCTCCTCTCCCCCCCCACCCCCCCGTCACGACAAAGCCTCTGCGTTTGCAATGGGACGTCTTCTACCCCACGTCGGGACGGGCGTCACTGTTACTCCCCCGCGGCGCTTCACCGAGCAGCTATTTCAGATCACCAGTCAAAAATGTACAGCCGCTATTACACCGCAAAGCAAATATCTGGCGTGCCTGAGCGAG